TTCTGGGAGTTGAAGTCCACCCATCTTCAAGTTGCCAAGGTTGAGAAACACTGCTCTAGATTAGGAGAGGAGCTAGACTTGATCACTCAAAATGAGTCCTCCTAATTTTGTGATTCCAATTGTGTTTTGTAGCAGATCAAGCAGGCTGTGGAAGAGAAACTCATCCTAGACAGCAACCCGTTGGAATGGACAGTGACCGATGTGGTGCAATTCATCCGGCTGACCGACTGCGCTCCCCTGGCCAAAATATTTCAGGAACAGGTTCTTTCTTTTCTCTCCCTGTAGCACCTCCTGATTCAGGATCCGAACTGCATTCCAGGCCCTTCTGAGCTTGTCGTTAATATTATAGCTGAAACCCAACCTTAGCCAAGCCATCTGCTTGCAAGCGTTCAATCTCCCGAATCAGCCCTTCAGACATACTAGATCTTGTCTCTTGTGTCAGATCACATTCGCGTGATGAGGTCCCTTCTCCACCTCTAAGGAGAAGATGGGTGGTTTTAACTCGGAGCTCCTGCTACTTTTATAGGGGGCCACGAAAGGCTTCGTGTTTGATTCTGAACATCAGTGTGGGCATCGTTTTCCAAGATTGCATCATTGCTATGGAAAACACTTCCAAGCAGCCAGATGATCTTGCACAGCAGCTCACCAACAGGTGTGCCTTCACACTGCTGTGCATTCCAAGGCAACTTTTCACAATCAAATCCAAAGCATTGCACAGCTGAACTATTTAGGCAGGGTGTTTTTTTAGTAGTCTGCTGACAAAGTTCATAATTATAATACAGAATCCAGTATATTCCCTTTGCGTAAATATGCGTGGACGTTGGATGAACCCAGCCTTGTCTCTGGAGATATGACCAGTCCATCTAGTTCAACTTTCTGGGTTCCACCACGACCAACCAGATATACCCAGAAAGCTCACAAGCCACGACTCCAAAAACTGTTACTTTCAGAAGTATTACTTTCACTCTGGCATTCTGATATTTAAGATATATTTAAATAGAAAACAGCAATCAAGATTAGGAGCCACTGGTAGCTTGGCCCCTTAGGGAATTGTCCAGTCTCTTTAAAACCATCTCATAGGTGGCCACTGACATTTCTGATGGTAGCCAGATCCATAGATGACAGTAAATACTATCAAGTAAAGAGGGCTTTTACTGGTGCTGAATCTTCTTACATTTCATTTGAATGGGTGACCCTGAGTTCTCATATCATGAGAAAGAAGAACTTTGGTGTCCACATTTTCTGTCTCATGCATTATTTTATCAATCTCTTCCATACCTCCCCTTACTTGTCTGGACTACAGAGTGAGAAACCCTCAGAATCCTTCCTCATAAAAGCCCCCTAATTCCTTTGCATGGCTCTTTTTTGAAAACCAAGTGAGATTTTGGTCCATGTGAGTTTTCATCCAATCCCTCAACTTTCCATCAATTTCCTTTTGTTTTGGCCAAATCCTGGGTTCAATGAACAGAAACCCGGGGGCGTTACACCCCTGGATAAATCTCTATAAAAGCCCCCAAATCCAGTTGTTTAAAAACTTCAGCAGAGGATGCCCCAGGCCCTAAAAATAAAATTCTTTTGGCTCCTCCTTTTTGCAGGATATTGACGGTCAAGCTCTTCTCCTGCTGACGCTTCCAACTGTCCAGGAATGCATGGAACTGAAACTTGGGCCAGCCATCAAACTATGCCACCAGATTGAACGGGTGAAGCTGGCTTTTTACGCGCAGTACGCCAACTGACGTCACATTTTCTTCTCCACTTTCTTCGTTTTTAAGGCCCTGCCCGCATTTCCTATTTCTGAACTCTTGGTATTTGGAAACACGGAGCATATGCCAATGCCTAGATGTGTCCACAAAATAAACCAAAGTAAGATCTTGAGCTGAAGTCAGAAATCTTCGAAGGTGCTGAGCACCACAGCAGGATCGAGAAGTGATGCAGGCACACAACCAGCTCTTGATAAAATAAAAGTTTAAAATTTCCACCCAAATCTTGCAAGATCAACTCTTGCCTGTCGTCATCCGTGATCCCACCCAGAAAAGCCAACGCTGGCATTTTCATTCCACGTGTCCTGAAATATTGCCTTCTTCACCCAAGTGTTCATCAGACGTCACTGGAATCCTGCCAGATTTGGCCATTGTGAAGTTTCTGCCTTTAAAAAATTGGGGAAGGGGGGAATGCCGTGCGGGCGTATTGAAGAGGCCCCACCGTTCACAGCTGCCTTGTGAATCGTGAGCTTCTCTCTGTGTGTGAGTTACAACGTTATAACAGTTACAAAGAGACAGCAGTGCAAGAAAAGTACAACAGTTATGATGAGAGAACCTGGCTAGATTTTGTAGGGAGATTTCTGCAATGAGGCTCAAGTTGACATGTAGGGGAAGGATGAAGCCAAGATTGGAGAGAAGATGGCTTGAAATGAGCTGATGTTTGTTTCGTGCGCATTGTAGGTCCCCCCCCCCCCACATTTAGAGGTGTAGAAATAACATTTAGGAATGGCCATAATGGGAGGGAGGTGAAGTGGGACTCACTCCTCTAGATGATCCATCAAGGAAGGCAAAAAGGTGGTCACTGCCCTGATTTTCCTTTGCCACTCCCCTCTTACGTCTCCAGAGCTCCAGAGCTCCCTTGATTCACATTGTGTGCCGCTGATTATTTACACATCTGTTGCCTCCAACCGCTGGACTCTGATCTCTCCTGGAGCTCTTTAGCGCTTCAGATCCAGTCTTCCGAAATGGCTTCAGAGCGTGTGGGCGTGGAAAAGGAGCAACTGTGCACAACACCTTTGCTGCTGACAGGTGCTGCCTTCCCGCTCTTGCACACTCAAGCCCTGTTTGGAGACCGAATCCAAAGCACGCTCAGATTTAATCTCTCCAGATCCAAGTGGTCTCCTGACCCCCTTTGTCTCCATGAAAAAGGTGACGGTCCAATTGAGTCTTTTTGGAACTCTGCAACTCAAACGGATCTGCTGTCGTTCCTGCAGACGCCCAGGGTTTCTCTGTCTGCATTTGTGTCATTCCTGCAGAGTGACCTCACAACCGTTTTACTATTTTTTAATTCCACGGCACAGCTGTTTAGCAGAGAAAGGGAAGCACGTGCTCAATCCTGCCATTGGTAGCTCATTGACAAAATTCCAGCCTTTTTAAAAAGGTCTTCAGCGGTCACTTTCAGCCTCCTCCTCTGCTAGACTGGGTTGATGTAAACTATCCAGATGAGCTGAGTTTGCGTGGGCAACCTTCAGTCCAGCTTGGGATATAGTATGTGGAGTATCACTTTTGGATCAGGCCAATCTGTCTGCTGGAGTTTTATAATACTTTTTTAAAAAATTAATTTCGGGGGGGAATAAAGAACCCAGGAACGGTTCGTGTTTCTAGCTTTTTGATAGGGATGTTAACTTTATACAGAGAGGGAAGCAAATTGCAAGTAAGGAAGGTTTGTCTGATTTGGGCATCCTTCAGGGGTGTGGACTTCAATTCCCAGAATTCTCGGCAGCGGCTGCATCAGTTGGGGGCTTCTGGGGTTGAAAACTTTACACGGAATGGGTGGAGTGATGAGGAAGCCTGTGAGCATCTCATGCAAAGATGAATAATTTTTTCCTTCTGGAGCTGGACTTTTACTTTGTGGATCTTCAAGGGCCACGGGCAGCAAGGTTGCTGACATGGCGAAGAAGTGGTTGGGCTTAAATTTCCTGGCCTTTTTTAATTTGTAAGCACGGGGGCTGGTTTAGGGTGGTTTAAAAGTAAAAGAAAAAGGAAAGCAGGTCATTTATTTTACCGCGTAACCAGACAAAATGTGCAGTTAAAAACTGATTTTTCTTCCCACTGTAATTCGGCTTGGCCATTCTGGTGGAGGGGCTTAAACCTGGAGCTGGGGGTTGAATTTCTTGACTCTTCTGTACAGGATTCTGGGTCTGTGTAAATAGAAAGAGAGAAAGACAAATCTATCCCATATGATTTCATGTAAATAAGGGGGAAGGTCTATATTCAGAGTTCTATTTTAATTTTTATTCAAACAGAATTTTTACTTGAAGAGGCATAAGCTGAGTTGTTAATAAAGTTGTTCAAAAGGATCTGTTACCCCTTGTTCTCTTTCTTCTTCACCCCTCTTCCCTCCCTCTTCCCTCCATTGCAAAAGATTTTTTTTTTTGTCCATCAACTAGAGGCTGCAGAGATGGGTTGACTGTGAAATTCTCCGGCAGAAAATCCCCACCAAAATTAGTGTTGTTAGCTATTATGGAGACAGGGGTGTTCTGTTCTTTTCTTTAAAATCATGACTGGTAGATTCCCTTTTATCTGTATTTTTATTCACACTGGGAATCGAAAACCGGGGTTGTTCTCAGGGTGGATTAAAAAGAAAATCCACATGGTGGCCATGTCTGTGCAAAGCCCTGTCTCTTTTAAACACATGGTGCTGTTGCTGTGGCCTTTTTGACTTTTTTGACCCCCTGTGGGTGTTCTATATACACAGAGACACTTACACACACACACAGATACACATGCACACACGCCAGGAGGCAAATATCTTCTGTATTGCTGCCAAGTAAACAACTCAAATCCGATTAGCGAAACTTATTTAAGTAAAATAAGTGCAGAATAAGTTGCATTTCCTCTCAAGGAAATTGGCACATAATGAAATCATCACATGAGACAAACCAAGGCTGGACCACAAAGCATTCGATTCCTTGTGTCCAGAAAGACGGCATTTCTTCTTTTCCAGCGTTTCTGCCGGGAACTGAAATGTCAAGCCCGCTACCTGCGTTTTGGAAAAAAGACAAACTTGCTGTTGAAATTGGTTTCTAAACAACTTCTGTCTGAATTTAAAACTGACTTAGCTACAGTATTGATATACTGCCGACACTGCAAAACCTTCTATAAAATATTCCTAGTATCCATGCGCGCGTGCACGTGTGTGTGTATTGTATATGTGTGTGCGCGTGAGTATCTGCTTAATGTATTTTGGAGTGTTAAAGTTATGCCATATAAATTTGTTTTTGGAGCACCCAAATATTATATATATTTTTAAAAACCTCATCTGCAATAGATTCCTCTTTTATCCTTTATCTGGCTCCTATTTATATTTATATGTGCATTTATATTTTATGCTTACAGTACCCCTGAAGCTAATCTGAAATCTGTTAAGACAGGGAATAAAGCGAGTGGATTTTGTCACACCATTCTGCAAAATGCCCTCCCGGGGGTGACTTCTCTGTTGATGCTTCTGCAGTCCCCACTTTACTGGGGAGCAGAACTGGAGGCAAGAGGACGCAACGTTGCTGATTCTGTTGTCTTAAGTCAGAGGTTCTCAACTGGGGGGCCCATGACCCCTTGGGGGCCCTGGGGTATTTCAAGGGGGCCACAGGTGAAATACACATAACAGGGGGCACGTTGTGCATTATCCTACCAATGCTGTCTTCTTGATGCCAGAAATTGCACCAGTTACTGTCTGCCTCTGGTCATGGGACCTGGACAGGAAGCACACAGGAGAAAGACATGGTTGGAAGGGGGCCACGGGTGAAACACGGCTGAGAAACACTGTCTGAAGGCTCCAGTCACAGCTGGTCTTGGGAGCATCCTCCAGATGAGCCTAAAGCAAAGCTCCCAGATGTGGTTTCCAGCTGCATTTCTGCCAATGGACGTGTCTGACGCCCTGCGCCTTCCTCTGGCCCCACCACCCACTAAGCCCCCCACCACACGCACGCAAACATACTTCCACAAGCAGCCATTTGATCTTTAACGGAGCAGGTGAAATGTGTTCTGCCAAGCCAGCCATAAAGGCAACCAGCGACCTCACAAATGTAACGCAGCCACCTTTGCAATCCCAAATCATTTGCATCATAATGGCATTAATATGCCTGAGTGCAGGCTAATGGGCGGAAGGTGGCAATGCAGAGTGTATTTTAGCTAGATGGCTTTTTAGAACTATTAAACAAACCACTCCTGTAATAAACTGTTCTGCACCAAGCTAATATTCAATAAACAGGATGGTTTATAAGCAATCAGGGACTTTGGGTGGCAAAATGGTGCCATTTCAGCAGAACGGGGCCTGTGACAAATTGCATGTTAGGTTAATGCGCAGGAAAAGTAAGGGGCTTGTAAAAGGGCTGTCATTTTCTTGGGGGGGGAGAATCATTGAAACATTTTGGGGCATTTGGGATCGCCCTGGAGTGCCTTGCTTAAATAAAATGGGTGTGTTCTGCAGTTCTCATCTGCCTCCCTCTTCAACAGCAGAGTGCTTTTTCCCCGCCCAAAAGAAAGTCTAAAATTATTTTCTGAAAAAGCAAGCAACATTTTCGGTTACTTATCAAACCAAGGTAAAGAGGTGGTTGGTCGGTTGAATCAGATACTGTCCACCCCCCCA